GGAAAAGAATCAAGTATTTATTGAGTACGTACTGGCACACTGTAAAGCAAATCATGAGGGAAAATGCTTTTGCTTGAGTTGTCCCAGTTACCTGAAAAGGAGTGTGAGCAAGTTAGCACTTGGCAGCTGGTAGTGACTGACTGACTTAGGCATCTGTCATCGTTATCCACTGCTTGGACAACAAGGAACAGCCAAACATTTTCTTCCTAGTGGAAGTGTTTTGACTGAAAAAATTAAAATCTTAATGACTGAGGCTGTAGGTAAATGTCTGAACTTACAGAAAACTCTGAGGGCCATATTAAAAATGACACTGTAGGGATGCATGTAATAAAATCCAGGCTCTGGAAAAATCTACACAGAAACAATTACTTTTTTTTAAAGAGAATAAAAAAAAATGATAACAGAATTTCAAAATAAGATGATAGGAAATTAACAATGGTTATTATATTGCATATTATATTCAAAGTAGTTACTTAGATTACCAGATATAGGCATGTAAGATTAATCAAACAGTATAAAGTTTCTTTCAATGAACTAATAGAAATTAGTAGTAGAATTATCTTAGCTATCGTGTGTGTGTGTGTGTGTGTGTGTGTGTGTGTGTGTGTATTTTCCTTCCTCCTTTCCCATATCCCAGTTGTTCTTTCCTTTTGAGCAGTTTCTTTCCCTTTCATAATAGCTATTGTACCTTTTGAGTCTTATTAACTCTTTCAGTTTCTTATAGTAGGGAGACATCACAATGTTTACATATGTAAATCTAATTTATTTCACTTATGAATGTGCTCTCTGAACAAAAAACTGAAAGCTTTCACTCTAAAATCAGGAACAAAACAAAGATATCCACTATCACTACTCCTAACAAATATGGTTGTGGAAACATTAGCCAGAGAAATTAGACAAAAGACAGAAAGAAAAGGAATAAGGATAAGAAAAAAGTGAAATTATCATTATTCTCAGATTACATGATACTCCACATAGAAGACCCCAGAAACTCCACCAAAAGACTTCTGGATTTAATACCCAAATTCAGTAGCATTGCAGGCTGCAAAGTCAACACTCAGAAATCAATAGCATTCCCATACACAAACAACAAACTTACTGAGAGAGAAATTAGGGAAACCACATCCTTCACATTTGCATCCAAAAAATTGAAATACTTAGGAATCAATATAACGAAGTAAAAGATCTATACATTGAAAATTATAGTACTCTGAAAAAAAGAGGTGGAAGAGGATTTTTCACAAAATGGAAAGCTATTCCTTGCTGATGGATAGAAAGAACCAACATTGTGAAAATGGTCATACTCCCAAAATTGTTACACAGCTATAATAATCCCAGTCAAAATACCATTAGCATACCTCTCAGATCTAAAGAAAACATTCCTAAAATTCATCTGGAACCAGAAGAGACCTAGAATAGTAAAACCAATCCTGGGCAACAAAAAAAGGCAGGAGGCATCACAATCCTTCACTTGAAATTATTATACTACAAAGCTACTGTGGTAAAATTAGCATGGTACTGGCAAAAGCAGACCTGAGGGTCAGTGGAACAGATTAGAAGATGAAGAAACAACTACAGACATACTCAGCCACCTTATCTTTGACAAAGGGGCCCAATATGTTTACTGGAAGGAAGATAGCCTCTTTAATAAATGGTGCTGGAAAAACTGGCTTTCCATACACCAAAGACTAAAACTAGACCCATGTATCACCATGCACTAAACTAAAGTCAAAATGAATCAAAGATCTAAACATTAAAACAGAAACACTTGCCAGGCATGGTGGTGCATGCCTGTGATCCCAACACTTGGGAGGCTGGGGCAGGAGGATTGTTGTGAATTTGAGGCCAGCCTGGGCTGCGACGTCAACTCAAGGCCAGCCTGAACTGCATAGCGAGACCTTGTCTCAAAAAAGACCCAAAAAAAGAGGGAGAAAAAAAAGAAAACGGAAACACTAAACCTACTGGAAGAGAAAGGTAGAAACCTTGAAGACATAGGGGTAGGCAGAGAGTTCATGAACAAAAACCAAACTGCACAGGAAATATTTCAAAGAATCAACAACTGGGATCTCATCTTATTTTTTACATATCAAAAGAAATTGCTAGAGCAAAAAGAAAACCCACAAATTGGGAAAATATTTTAGCCAACTGTCCCTCAGACAAAGGACTTCTATGTAGGACATATAAGGAATTTTAAAAAATCAGACCCCCAAAATTCAAAGACCCGATCTAAAAATGGGCAACTGAGAAATGGGCAACTGAGATTAATACACACTTCTCAGATGAAGAAATACAAATGGCAAGTAATGAAAACATGAAAAACATGTAAACATGAAAAAATGTTCAACATTATTGGTCATTGAAGAAATGCAAGTTAACACTGAGATTCCATCTCACCCCAAGAGGAATGGCTATCATCAAAAAATCAACCAATAACAAGTGCTGGTGGGATTGCGGGGGGGTGGGGAAAGAGACCCTTCTCCATTGTTAGTGGGGATGTAATCTGGTACAATCACTATGGAAATCAGCGTGGAGAATCTTCAAAATACTAGTATGAGGTCCCATCTGACCCAGCTGTTCCCATGCTGAGTATCTTCCCAGAAGAATTACAAACATCGTACCGCTTCGGTATGTGTGCACCCATGTCTATAGCAGCACAATTTGTCATAGCTGCATCTTGAAAACAACCCAGATGCCCATCCACTGAGGAATAGATAAAAAAGATGTAGTGTTTTTAAAGAGTGGAGTAAGTATTGCTCAAGTATAAATAAAGATGAACGTGGGGCTTTTATAGGTATGGATGCTACTTCTCAACAAATAAGTTGTCGGAGTAGAAAAGGTGGGGAGACCTACGGAGCAGACGACGTTAAGGTTAGCTGAATATCTGTTTACCTGCCCTAGCTTCTCTTCACCTCTTGCATAACACTACATAGTTTGTAAATGATTGGCTTGTAGCCATTTCTGCCCCATTAGATGGTATGTTTCTGAAGTCTAGAGCAGGACTTCTTAATCTGACTTTACCTTCCTAGTGCTCAACATAATGTGTGACATATGTTAGCAAATCTGTGAATATTTTCTGTAAAACTTTTGGCCACTACAGTGATTTGTCATATTCATCTTTGATCTCTAGTTCTTTTGATTAGCAAGCTGTTTGACTATTTTAAGTACAATTGACTTCTCCATTTCTTTGGTACTTCCAGAGAATATACGTATTGTCAACAACACTCTTTCTCCACTGCAGAAATTACTTTATTGCTTCTGTAATTGTAAATATCATATATTTTCACCGCAAAAACTCAAGCAAAATAAAACAGTATAAAAATCAAAAGTCATTACCATTAACTGAAAAAGTAAAGCTACTGCAACTGTTGTTTTAGAAATACGATTTTACCCGTTACTTGTCCTTCTCCTTCTCCTGCTGCACCCACGTGCATATACCCACCCACCCGAGCTGACCATGTGTAGGGAGTGCCACCGCATGTCCCACCCTGCAGCCTGTTCCTCTGACCGAACACTCGACCCAGCATGCTCAGGATTCCTTTCCATAGTCCATAAACACTGCTGCAGATTGGGATTTGCTGGACTCTGGAGTATCCCTTCTTGTTAATGTATGTTAACTTAACCAGTCTTTTCCCTGTTTCATAAATACTGCTGCAAGTGTCATTTTCAGGATTTCATAGTGTCCCTTTTTATTAATGTATGTTAATTTAATTAACAATGTGTACCATACACATTGAGTATCCTGAAATGCTTGGGACCAGAAATGTTTCCATATTTTGAATTGGGTGGGGGTTTAGAATATTTGTATGTACAAAATGAAATATTTTGGGGGATGTAAGTCTAAACATGAAATTCACTTATCTTTTATATATACCTTATACATAAAGCCTGAAGATAATTTTGTAGGATATTTTAAGTAATTTTGTGCATGAAACAGTTTGTGTACATTGAACTGGCAGACTTGTGGTATCGTGTCAGAGTTCAAAAGTTTCAGATTTTGGATTTTCAGATTAGGTATGCTCAGCATACTCTGAACATTGTTTCTTTATAATTATTTGTAATTCTCCATTACAAAAAATGTTGTAGTTTCAACACACCCATTTAGACTTGTGTGTAGTGCACTGTTCTCTTCAACCTACAGGCTGGTTTCTTGAGTCAAGGGTTGTGTGTTCATTTAAAATTTCTTGATTGCTGTACTGCATTCCTAAAAATTTAGACCTACTTTCATTTCTTTAGAAGTTGATTAGCAGGGTTTTATTATATTTGAAATCTTGTTCATCAGTTCCAAGCATAGTGTTCGGGTAAAGTAACATTTTTTAAGCTTTTTCTTTTAGTGTCTTTTCTTAAATTTTTTATTTTCTTTACGTAGGCAGTATGGACTGTTCAGGTTTGTGTAACACACCCAGTGATGAGCTAGAGTGGAAGCCAAATACTGGGTAGAATGTGATTGTCTCATAGTAACCACCTGATTCTCTTAGACTCACTATATTGTCATACGCTTTGGGGTTTTTTGGGTTTTTTTTTTTGGTTATATGTTCTTAAACAATAGTGTGCAATATCACACCTCTTAAGTCCTTGACCAAATTTATACAAAACCACACTCGTACATTCCATTCCATTTATATCTGCTTGAAGTAGCTGAGATAATAGAACAGTCTTTTGACCTCTTAGCAGTGTTTCCTCCATTCTCATTCACTTCCCAAAAGCCCCATGGAGAGAGGGTAATGAATTTTGAAGTCTGGCTGACTAGACTCTGACTTCAGCTTCATCATTTCCCTTGTTGTGTGTGGAAATCAGTTACCTTGTGGCTCTCATTTCATCAGCAATATGAGGATGCATTTGATTGTTCTGTATTTGAATGATTGTTCTAAGGATCGGGTACATGAGACTGCTTAGCACAATGCCTTGCAAAATATTAGTAATTCAGTATTTATCATCTTTTCTGGTGTTTGGTGAGTGATATGTAGTATTTTAGTATTCACTGTTGTACTGTTGTTTTTCAGAAATCTTCTTTACATATACCCTCAGAGTCTTAATTTTGCCAATCGTCAGGGTTCTGCCAGGAATATCACAGTGAAAGTCCAGTTTATGTATGGAGAAGATCCCAGCAATGCCATGCCGGTAAGAAGAGTTTTTTTCTACTGTTAGTCTTCGTATGTGGTTCACATCAGTTTTTAAAAAGTGTATAAGTTGGTTGGCAGCCAAACTGGAAATTAAAATCTTAGCTTTATTATTTATTTTATGTGTAGTAGTTTTTTGTTTTGTTTTGTTTTGTTTTTCTTGGTGCTGAGAATCAAACTCAGGACCTTGCACTTGCCAGGCAGGCGCTGTGCCACTGGGCTATATCTCTGGCCCAGTGTATAGTATTTTTAAATTCTAACATTTATTGAAGAGTTGGTATATCCTAGAGATACAAAGATGAATAAGCCTTCTAGGGTAGAGGATGTAATAGAAGCACATACACATCTAAAGGAGCTTTCTACGGAGTGTTAGATCAGTATCACCTAGGAAACTCAGCCAGTGCACAGGTAACTTTTCTTTGGCATGCGTGATTCTGATTTTCCTCAAATCCCTTTAGAATGAAAGGCCAGGGAGTGGAGGTGGGAGGTGATGGGGGCATATGAGGTTGTGTTGCAGCTTGAAATTGTTCCACAGGGATTTTAATGTGTATGGCTCTTCCTGTCTTCATTGAGCAACTCTGGCAGTCTTATCTGAACATTAGATTCATCTGGAGAGCTTTAAAAATAACAGTTCCCAGGCTGAATCTTATTTGAATTAAATCAGAATATCTGGGGACCTGATCAGTATTCTTAACTCTCACCAAGGGATAACATTTTGCAACCGATGTTGAAAACCAAGATACGTGCTCATTATTAAAAGGCTGGTAGAGGGATCTGCAGGAGTGGGTGTTCAGAGATGAGAGAGAGAAGGAGAGAGGGGAGAGACAGAGAGAGAATGCCTTAATGAGGTCAAAAGCAGGCACTGCACGGCAGAAGTGTTCTGCCCTGGAACCACAGGTCTCTTGTGTGCATGCTGCCAAGTCTGGAGAGTGGGGAGGAGAGCCGTTGAGGGTGGGAGTGTCCCTGAACAGTGACGCGCAAGTACAGTGGTGAGTGGCCCGTGAGCCAGAGCGCAGGACGTAGGTCAGACTCAGCAGACTGTGGCCAGACCGGAGAGGGTTTTGACTGCCCACATTGTCATTCAGGGTTTGTGTGGCAGTCATGAATACAATTTCATGACAAGAGATTTTTGGCTCAGCTGAAGTTGCCAGCAGAGAATAGGAGTGTGCTGTGGCTATAGATGGTCCGACTCCAGGAACCCTAGTGAAATGAAAATGCTTAGTTAAGAACAGGTGCGTTGCCAGTAGTCTGATTTTATCTGTGCATATTTGCTTTTAATCAGATTCTTTTGATTTTCCACTTACTAGGAAGCTTTTTCTTCTTCCCGGTTGCCTCAGTTTCATCAGTATCTTTAGGTCTCCTTGACAGCAGTGATCACAAATTATTCATCTTTGTATTCTCCTGTGGCAGCTATTTCTGATCCTTGCAAATGGTACGCGCTGGATATTTGTGGAATAAATGTAGAATTTATTTTTGAGGTTTGAAATTAGCATTTCATACTCTTTACTAGCTCTTTATTTCTGCTGGAGGAATGGATTTGTTATAGTTGACGAAAAGATACTAGATAGTGAAAATAGATGCCCTGGTAGCCTGTATGTGAATTTGAGCTTAGGACAGATGTAGTACACGTGCAAGAATGTCTTCACTGTCTGCTCAGCCAGCTCCTCCTTGTGTTAGCTTGTGCGTGGCCCTCTGAGTAGCTTCAAGTGTGCCCCACCCACACGGGCAGGTAACCTGATTCCTCTTGGTGCCACCATAGCATCTTCTCACTTTTTCAGAGGCCTTATTGCGCTGTAATTTTATATTTATCTCTTCACCTCACCCACTAGACTGTAAGCTCCTTGAGGGCAGGGATCATTACGTACTTGTAGCTGCATCTAGATGCCTGTCATAGCGCTTGTTTGCTATTGTAATTGATGTTCAATCCATGTTGGTGATTAAAAACACGTACCAGATGGTCAAAAAGGAACACTTCCCACGTTAACTTCATTCACGTTACAAAAATAGGTTCTTTTTTGAAAGGTGATAGCTTCTCAGAGGGAAAAAGGTATTGCATTCATTTCACTTGTGCATTATTAATCATATGAAAATGTAATGCTCTTATGTTTAGGTGAGTGGCTGGTTTGAAAGAGGGTAGATACAGCAACATGGTATGTTGGCTTACTTTTTAATTAAGGACTATTCAAATGGTCCTCCTGATAATTTTTAGATTACATAATATAGTATGATAAAATTGAAAACTTCATAATTCTGGCACTGGAACATTTTGTAAAAATATACAAAGTTATTACAGAGCTGATAAAATAAGGCTTACCTAGGGCAATCATAATTATTACACTTCGTATGCATTTAAAATGAAAGGACATTCTCGAAAGGTTACAAAAACAAATACCTGCCTGTGTACTTGGTCCTAGTTAATCTCTTTATGTCAGGGTTAGGCTTTACTTGTTTTACCAGCCGTGATGGAAGTGTGCTGACCAGTTCACACCCTGTTCGTGCATATGTGAAGGTGGCTGGTCAGATGGAAGGGTTTCATCTGTAGTTAGACACCATTGCAAGTCGGGCTTGTAGCGGTTGTAACTGCAACTTTGGCATCATTAAACCACTTAGGGATCAGCTGCCCTAGTTATCCAGTGTTTCTCTCAGAATTCAGGAGGCAGATATACAAGGTTTAATTATTTTACCTCTAAACTTTCTCCAGAAATAATAGTGTAATTTTTAAAAATATAGTAAACCGGGTGTGGTGGCTCACACCTGTAATCCCAGCACTCAGGAGGCTGAGGCAGGAGGATCTTTGCAAGTTTGAGACCAGCCTGGGCTACACAGTGAGCTCAAGGGTAGCCTGAACTGCGTCGTGAGACCCAGTTGGAGAATTTTGGAGAATTTTTTATAAACATGTATATAAGACTAAAGAATATAGCTTCTCCTCCAGTGTAAAGTAGTGTACAGGAAGCACTAGGACCACCAAGGATACATAACAACCTAAAAAGTAGAATATTTTATATCATTTATGAATAATTTATATTTGACTTTCAGGATGACTGCTGTTTTAGTGGAGAAGCCATCAATTTATATGGAAGATTTATGCCACCATTCTAGGATCCTATTTATTACACAAATTCCAAATTATATGCTGCATCCAGTATAAAATGAATTCTTCACTTTCTTTAAGAAAAAGGAAAGAAATGTACCTTGTTGCTTACTGGATAGAAATACAGTCAATAGAAACTTTCTGAATGTTTGAATGTCAGATGGGTCTGTCATTGAAAAGAAACCTGTAGTTAAGCAGTTGAACTTTTAATGAACGTCAGTAGGCACATTGTTCTTCATTGGGCTGATTTTGCCCATTTTTCTCAGTTATAATCAGACAAATTCTTACATAGATATGAAACATCCAGCATTTATTGCAACAAAGTTTCAACATGCTGTTATTTGTTACAGGTAATCTTTGGTAAATCTAGCTGTTCAGAGTTTTCAAAGGAAGCCTATACAGCCGTAGTATATCATAACAGGTACTGAATTAAAATATTTCTTTCAAAGTTACTCACTTCTCAATAGTGGCATTGTTAGCACTCACGTTAGTGTGTTTTACTGACTGTGCGAGAGGCAAGGCAAACATCTGAGGTATGATTTTCAATCCATAGACGTACAACCGTTCTGTAAAGACATCTCAAATGCAAGACTTTATATATAAAAGGTCTGTTCAACCAAATTCTCTGATCCTTTTAGTTTTACTGTGTTATTATCACTGTAACCTCTGGTCCTTTGATCTTCCCTGTTATTTTTCCTGATACTTTTTAGTTTTATTTAAGTCTTTACAAAGTTGAAGCCCATTAGTTAAATTGGTGGTGTTCTCAACCTCCAATGATCCTTTGGTTCAGTGACTTTCAGTTTTACTTCCTTGGGACATGGCTTACTCGAGTAATGTTTAATTTCTACTTTACTTTGGGGGGATTATTAAATGTTGGAGAAAAATCACAGAATTGCACCAGTTGTGGTTACTGCAGACTGGTGTTACTGTGTCTTACGATGGGGCTACTGTAATTCGTTTTACGTAACTTACCGCTGTGTACAGTAGCTGCAGTCGTTTGCTGTGCTGTGCACTCCTGTTTTAAATTACTTAGGATTATGCAGCTGAGATTATGCAACATAATTTCACTGTTCTTCACCTCAAACGCTCTCTGTACTCGTCCGCCTCTCCCGTTCCAATGTAGTGCTGGCCTCTTCTCTGCTCAGTCTGAATCCCTTCTCCTCTGCTCCCAGGCCGTGCTGTCCTGCTGCTTCCGAGTGTGACTCAGTTGTCCCTTCTCTTCTGGGTTCCACTCCATAGGCTTCATCTGTTCTCAAAGGGAAACTTACATTTCTGACACTTGGAAGTTTCCCACTGCCATTGTATAGTATGGGTTTTCCTTGCCTTCCTTAAAACTTCTCATACCTTTGCTTTGTTGGCTGATATCAATTTCCTTCTGCTTCTTTAAACATTTTTTTGGGGGGGGGGTTGTACTTGTTCTTTTTCCCCTAGATGTGGGCATTCCACACAAAACACTGCAGCTTTGCTGTGAGCGCTCTCTCAGTGCATTCTCTTCCTGAGTCACCTGGCGTGTTCCCTGAGCACATGCCGTGAAAATGCCTCTGCTCTAACGTGTGGGCCCAGCCTTCCTGCTGATGCTCACACCTGTGTTTTCATCATCCTCCTGGACATACCCATTTAGGTGTCTTGCTGACTTCTTAGTTTCTGTCCCTGACTCTTTTTTCTGAACTGTCTCTGTTTGCCTTTCTGTTTTTATTAATGGTACCACCATTTTTTGTAGTTATTCTAGCTCAGATATTTTTTGCTTTCTCTCTTTTGTTCTCTAATATCCAATCAACCTTTAAGACTTGATGATTTTCTTTGGGCCTCAGTAGCAAACATATTCTGTGCTACTTCTGGGCCTTTCTTAGATCTTTTATGATAATTGTTCCCTTTTTTTGTTGAACTCTTTCTAAGGCCCATATTTTAAATACTACCTCCTAAGTAATTCTTCTTTGAGCTTAAGCTTGAAGTAATCTATTTAACCCTGCTCTTGAAGTATTTAAATAGTATGCTTTATATCAGGGGTTGGCAAACATTTTCTGCAAAGGACTGGGCAGTATATCTTTTAGGTCTGATCACAAGGCCCTCTCTGGTAAACTCTCGACTTTGCCGTTATAGCACAAAAGCAGCCATAAGTAATAAAGTCACAAGTAAATTGGTGGCTGTGTTGCAATACAGCGGTACTTATGAACACTGAAATTTGAATTATATGTAATTTTCACATGACATTATTCAGAAGTGTAAAAGTCACTCTCACTTTGCAGGCTGTGTAAAACCTGATACTGGACTTGATTTGCCCTGTGAACCATAGTTTGCCAACCCCTGTTCTGTAGCATAGCTATTTGATATTTGCGTCTGATTATGTTCCTTATGAATTGTATACTTTTTGAGGGTAATTGTTTTCTTACATTTATCTTTAAGATTACCACTGTACTAACACAATGTTTAACATGAAGCTGGGCAATTAAATCTATTTATTGAATGAGCAATTCTCATAAATGCTTAATTTTTCACAAGTCTTCACATAATGTGGTTTCAGGAAGTAATAGACCACAATATTCAATACTAGGAAAGACACTGATTAAGAAAGTGGTCATTTCTAAAAGTTTCTCAATTTTGTGAGTAGTTCATTGCTACTATATTTGCTCTCAGCATTGGTGGAATCAGAATGACAATACCATCTGACATTGCTGATAATTTCAGCTTTTTCCCCATTTGGTGATGATTGGGAAGATCAGCTATAAGATGCATAGCATCTTTTTTTTTCTCACCAGAATTATCAAGTTCTGCAATTGCTAATATTAGCTCTCTTTCTCGTTAGTATTATTTATTGTCTAGTTCCACTTAGAATTTCTATAGTCAAAACCTCTTAACAGGTTTTTTAGGCTCATTTGAGGGAAGGGTACTTGACTGACTAACACTTAAGAAAGAAAAGCCTAATGAACGTGCCAGCCTTCACAGTAGAGCTGGATTTTCATTGGGTATAATTCTGAGCAATAGCAACTCTGTGTGGAAGGTTGGGATGCCAAGGTTCTGTCCCTTCGAAGTGTGTATCTTGAGTAAAAGCTGTGTTTTCCTATAAAAATGCCCTTTGGGGCCATTCTGACTAAATACTGATTGAAACAGAAGATCCTGAAATTTATTGTATTTGGATAGTGTCTAGGAGCACTTCCAACCTGTGGCACAGTGCAGTTTGTTGTCATTCCTGATTTTATCTTTTTTTCCCTTGAAGTCACTCAAAAACTAGTTCATGCTTTGGTGACATTTTATATTTTGCTAACAATGGAATAATTGATATAAGACATTCCACAGAGAGCCCAACTTACTAGTAAGGTATCTTTAGAGATACCCTTTTTCTTCTTTTATAAAAGGATGATACAGATTAGTTTTGTATGAAACTGTACTACAAAATAAAAATATTATTCTATAGGGTGGTTTTAAAATAAACACTTATATGACTTCTTATTTTTCTCTATATGTGTAAGAATTGGCTCATAAATGTAGCCCAACCATAGTCTCCTCTAGTGTACAGGTTCCAATGTAATGGAGATTTCAGTATGAAGGTGATAATTACTAATTTTTAAATAGTAGTTCTACTCAGTCTATTATATAAAACAATAGGATGAGAAATTTCAGACACAGTGGCAGCTCCCTCATCTGGAAGTAGGATTTAATTATTTGGAGATTGGGAGTAAAGAAAAATATTTTGGACTAGAGGTAAAAATGAAGCATGAATCTAAAATTAAGTTTAAAATCACTCAAGCATACAAATGAAATGATTATTTATGTTGAACAATTACTGACTTGATTTTTGTTTGTTTTCTTTTTTTTTTATATGAAGGTCTCCTGATTTTCACGAAGAAATCAAGGTTAAACTCCCTGCAACTTTAACTGACCATCATCACTTACTTTTTACTTTTTATCATGTTAGTTGTCAACAAAAGCAAAATACTCCTCTTGAAACCCCTGTTGGATATACAGTAAGTCCTTTTTGTTGAATGTTTAATTCTTTGATCCTAAAAATATTTATAAGATATAGTTAATGTTTCTTATTCCTTGAATACTCTCTGATTTCCTGTAACTATACAGTTGGCATTGGTAAGGAAGAGTCTTCACAACAAGAAAAATGCTCATTAATGCAATTAGCTAATAAAACAATTAATTACTTTGTGTAAATGCTTAGGTGTTGGTTCTAATTATTGAGCTTATTCAGCAGTGCAGTATAAATACAAACTTAAGGAGAAAATGATTTGATTGTAAAATGAATAAAAAACACTTAGAAAAGAAATTTAAACCTTTGAGTATTTTTAAAAAATCATTATGATTGAATTGCGGAAGTGTAATTAAGATGAGTGTCACCCTAGTAATCTATCATACAACTTCGTTGGAAAAATCATGCTTCTACTCAGAAGAGAAAAATCAACATTTGGCTCATTTTTTTGTCTCTTGCATTTGTGATACGAATTTTTCTAAAATAAATAGTACTCTTTAGTTTTATTTTCAGCATTTACAGCTAATTAAGCTTTTCATTATTTTAAAACTTATCTCAGTTTTTAAATTGCACTTCATGGCCTTTTCCTAGGATTAACTCTTCATTAGATAATAAGAACCTTTTATATTAAATACTGCGTGTGTAATAATGGTACTGTTTGGGGGAAATGGTTCCTTAGAAGAATTATGAAGGCCTCTTATTATTATTTATATAATTAAGTCCCTTAATATTCGGTGATAGGGGACAAATTTGGGATGCACCAAGTTCATAAAACACACTTTCCAAGTAATTATTTTTATAACAAATATATTTAAATTGAGAGTGATTCCTTTTCATTTCCAAGTGGATCCCGATGCTTCAGAATGGACGGCTGAAGACCGGCCAGTTTTGCTTACCGGTGTCTCTGGAAAAGCCTCCCCAGGCGTACTCGGTGCTGTCCCCCGAGGTCAGTGTCTGTCCTGCTGTGGTACTCCAGGTGGGGTGAAGCATGGTTCTCATTGTAGAGATGTCTTCAGGAAGTGAAGCCTTGCTATTCTTCTGTCTGTAAGGAGGTAGATAATGATTAAAATTCTGGTATATAAAACTTAGAAGCTTAGAAACTTTTATCCTTTTTTCAAAAAAAGCATATTAATTTAAAAATAAAATAATACATGAAATGTAAAACTCAAAAGTAGACTTGGAAATTTTTCTTATTAAAACATGAGAAGCTTTATTAAATAAATATTTCTTTTAGTAGACTATTCATATTTTACTAAAAGACTGAAGGAGGAGAAACATATTTAAACTTTTAGTATCTTTTTGAAACTGAATGTGTAAATGAAGACAAAGCACACTCTTGTGGAAGTGTTTGTTTTTATTTAGTTGGTTTGCATATACAAAGTCAGTTTTCTAAGGGTAAGTCAGTGGTTTTCTTTTAGCTACTGTGCTAAATATGTTTATATTTTAAAAAACCCATGGCTATATTTGATTATAGACCTACATCATAGTGTGATTGACTGACACCTGTAATAAACCACTCAACTGAGTTAAAACTTCTCTATACTTTAATTTTTTTTGGTACTGAGAATCAAACTCAGGACCTCACGCTTGCCAGGCAGGCACTGTGCCACTGAACCATACTTTTGGCCATGTGTAATTTAATGGTGACATTAAGAAGCAGTATATTCTATAATCCCAGCACTCTGGAAGGCTGAGGCAGGAGAATCACAAGCGTGAGCTCAATATGGGCAACTTAGCAACTTAGTGAAACCCTTTCTCAAAATAAGAAATAAAAAAGGGCTAGAGCTGTGGCTTAATGTAAAGGTCTTGGATTCAATCCTCAGCATCGGCATTGGAGGGGGTGGGTGGCCCATTAGCAATACATATACTTAGCTTCAGAACTATCCAGCGTCTGTGTCCTCTTGGCATTGGTGTCTGATGATTGTCTTTTCTCATTTGAGAGTTCCGTGGCCTTTGTGTGATGCATGTTTTCTATGACGTCCTGGACGCTGGCTATTGTGTCACGAAACGCTGCTGCAGTGGTGGAAAGAGGAGGCTGCGCTGAGGTCTAGCTGAGGCCCTCATTGCCCACTGTCTCCTTCCACTCCGCGGATGGGGTTGGGTGGTGGCTGTTCTCGGGAGGTGGGCCTCAGGTTCCCCAGCAGGCTTCTGCTGACCTCGCCGGACACCTGTGCACTGTTCCCTGCTCACCCTGCGTGTTGGCTGGGGGCTGGTTGTCCTCAGAAGGGGTGGGCTCCTGTCCAGATGCTGCCTCTGCTGTCTCTCCGGAGGTGGCAGCTCAGGCTTCATTCACATCAGCCTGTGTATGTGGAGGGGTTTGTGGCTCGCTTGTTCACCTAGGAAGAGCCCCCACCGACTCAGCCCAGGGAGTGTGGGGACTGGCTTTGGCTAAGAGCAGCCTTTCCTTGGGGTTTTGCCTGCCTGTCTGTCGGCTTTTCTGGATTGCTAGTGTCCCTGGCACCCAGTCCTGGGTCTGCAGAGCAGAAGTAAAACCCAAGAAGTAGTCTGTGTCCTTGCACCCTGAGGGCGCAGCTTTTCCAGTCTGCTTGTTCACTTTAAGCATCGCAGTCCAGGATCGTGAACTGCATTTAGTAGAAAGGATGGAGAGAATTTAGGTATTACTTTTAAAAATGACTTTTATGAGGTTTAAATGGACATTCTAGCAGTTTACATCTGAAAAAAGAAGATTTTTCTAATCCTTAGAACAACAAGATTCCTCTGCTTGTGACTGTTTTAATGCCCAATGAAAATATACTAGGAATGTTTAAAATAAACAAGTGGAATATTATAAATCTTTAAAATGCTGTTTATGTGAATTTATTGACATGAAATGTAATATGTATATATATTATGTGAAAAACAGATTTCAAAACAATATGATATTAACTGTGTAAGGGAATATATGAAAATGTAGATAGAGGAAGTGTTGGAATGATCAAAGGAGATATGTCTCTGGGAAAATAGAAATTTGGGGTGTTTTCATTTTGCTTCTTGAGCCTTTAATTCTTTGGTAGAAACTATTTATTAAGAAAATGAAATTTTAAAGTTTATTTTAAAATGTGTTGTGATTAAAAATATTTCTACAGAATTTTTTTTTCTCATCGAGGTGCTCTCCTTTTTGTTTCCTGAGTTTATAATTTATTTAAACATCTGTGGTCATTATATTTACAGGTTCCTCTACCTGGCATGAAGTGGGTAGATAATCACAAAGGTGTGTTTAATGTTGAAGTTGTTGCTGTTTCATCTATCCATACACAAGTGAGTTTTAGTGATTTTTGTGATGCAAGTTGTACTTGAATGAGTTGAAAACATACCTTGTTTCTGACAGTTCTGTTGACTGCTTCAGATTTATAGGAATATATATCAGTTAAAAGCATGTAAATGTATAAGATATGTTTCTAAAGGGACACAAAATGTCATTAACAGTCACCATAAGCAAATATTTTGCTTCATGAAATGTCATTGATTTTATTTTGAATAATTAAGTGACATGTTTCTAAGTTTCTGGTACCTGGCAGAATAGTTTTAAAACTATCACCCAATTCAAATTTTATTTCTCGTAGACTCAGGTATTTCAAATGGATAGAGTGTTTAGGAATCATCTGCTCCAAATTCTTCATTCTATTTCTGGAATATGCTAGGTTCTTGAAGATAATAATTCTCAGTTTTTCTCTGGCTGGAAGGCCTTCCTCCCTGGCTTTCATTTTACTTCTCTTTCTGTAGAGTTGCTGCTCACCTCAGAAAGTTAGCTTCTTGGTAACTCATTTAGTCATAAAAGTCCTGTCACTCTGGCGGCTGACCTCACATTTATTACCGAAGTGTGTATGTGTCTGTGTGTGTGTGCTGTACACATACATTGTTTATTATGTTTTCCCCTTTATAAGCTTTATAAGAAGAGGGATGTTACCTGTCAGGGAAAGAGCCTTCCCTTCAGTGGTCTTACAGTATAACAGGGGAAAGTGCAAAAATAATTACAAACAGTACGGAGCTGGGGATTTAGCTCAGCGGCACAGCGCCTGCCTGGCAAGCGCAAGGTCGTTTCGATTCCCAGTACCGGAAAACCCCGCGCCCCCCCACAAAAAAATTATAAACAATACACTTAGTACCATGTTGGATACGTTGACTGTACTGGATAAGTCAACTACAAGGTAGACCATGTTCTGTTAGGCCTGAGGTGTCGCATTGGTAAGTAGGGACTTGTCACACAGGGGAAGGTAGGGTGGGCAGCTCCTCCAAACAGGTGGCAAAGCAGAGTGCTGGTCATCTGTGTCTAAGGACTGGCAGGTAATAGGATGTGAGCACAGTTGGAAGTGAATAGGAGTCCCTGAGAGAGGACGGTGAGGGCCAGGCTGGGAACAGATTCTGAAGGACTTTTAGTGTCAGAGTTTAGATTCCAAGCAGCTGGTAATTTCTAGCCTTAACTGCAGACCTAGGAGAAGTCATCTGGGGCATGTCCTGAGGAAGGGCAGGTATGGAGCTCCAGGAGCTCATTCTCAACCTGCTGTGTCTGATGTGTACCTCAGACAGAGGTGGCCTGATGTAGTGTAATGAATTTGGAGATTGGAAATAACAGAGTAACCATGACTGGTGACATTAAATGGGTGCTTATGATTTTTCAGGGGAAATGTAGAGTGAGAAGAGGCCTGTCTTTAACATGGAATTCAGGCGTTCCCCAGCTTATAAAGAGAAGGGTCATGTGGAGAGTTTCCTAGAGCCCCTTGGGTTCAGCAGTTGGCCTGGAGGCCTTTTAGGGAAATTGTTGCATCACAGCAGCTGTGGTTTATTATAGTGAAGACACGAGAAGCAGCGTCAACAGACGAAGGGGCATTGGTGAAGTCTGGAGGAGATGAGGCCAAGCTTCCAAGAGTCCTAGTGGAGTCACGCAGCTCAGGGAGTGGCATGTGTGGCACTCAGTGGGGACACAGTCTCCAGGGGTTTGCCAGAGGCTTGTTGTGAGGGCTCTTACTCCTAACATGCACCAGATTCAAATCTTCCCAAGGAAAGGCCATTGTTCAGCATAGACGTGTCCAGGTGTGGGTACCATCCTGTTAGTGGACGCTGGCCTGACGTTAAAGCTGGAAAGCAGCCGTAAGCAGGCCTTACAGAAGACAGCAGTCTTTTAAGTTCGCACTTCCTGCACAGCGAGGTGGGGAAATGCACACAGAACCTTTGCACTGTGTTCAGAAGGACACTGACGATGATAGATTTTCTTTAGCAGTGCACACATAGGCCAGTAAGAGGAGGACTCAAGTGGAGGCTTTCCTTACCGACGCTGTGGGTGTGTCCCGTGCTTTCTGTGTTCCTTATCATTGTGTTGATGAGGAGATGGGAGTTCTCATTATCTTCGAAACATAGTTCCTTTAATAGGTGAATTCTTAATATCACATTCCATTTCATAAATATGCTAGTACATTATGCTTATTTCTGCCTATTCCTATAATCATTGTTAGTTTTCTCTTCTTAGAGTTGTCAGTACATTTATCTTTTCCTCCTAAATTTTTTTATGGAGGCAGATTCATGTGTTATCTTACGTTACAAAGAAGGATTTGGGGACCGGGGATGTAGCTCAATGGCACAGTGCCTGCCTGGCAAGCACAAGGTCCTGAGTTTGATTCCCGGTACAAAAAAAAAGGGATTTGGGACAAAATAATTTATAAAGCTGATTCAAAACCTGTGCAGTATAGGGGGAGAAGGAAGTGCAAGTGTGTAACATCCTGGCATCCCCAGTCCGGATGACTAAAATTCAGATGTTTATAAATTTTGCAACTAAGTAAAACAAATTCATCAGATACTGATAATCTTTTTTAATGGACCAATTGAAAGTAATAAATGTTTGTTATAGTGTTTTACACTTTCCTTGTAATAGTTTGAAATATATTTGATATATCACAACAATGTCAAACAAATTGATTGTGTATTAAAACTTTGTTAAAAGGATCAATTGCACACCTGTAATTTCAGCCCCCAGAGGGTGGAGGTGGGGGGTTTGCAAGTTTGAGCCCTGCCTGGGCAGTGTAGCAACTTAGTGAGACCCTGCCTCAAAATAAGAAATGAGATGGGGATGTAGCCAGTGTGAAGGCCCAAGACTCAGTCCCCAGTACTACCAAAAAAGAAAGAAAATGAAAGAAAGAACTGACCAGCCAGGATCAAGTGAATACAAATGTTTCTTATGATGTTTTATACTTTTTTTTATAACTCTTTGAAGTATGTATTGACTATATAGAGCTCAAAAAAGAATATCATTTAAGCAGTACATATAGAAGTTTAAATGGGAAGCTGGGCAGTATCACTCCCTTTCTTAAAGTTTTGTCTTCATTGCTAAGTGAATAAAAACCTCCCCAGAGTTCCAGTAGGCTCTTGTTCCCATCTCCTTGTTCAGAACTCTGTAGCACATGGTCATGTCTAAGTGTGAAGGAGCTTGGGAGTGTACGCTTCTGTCCAGAGGCCTGGAAAGTCCTACCATGAGCAGCTTTAGTTCTGTGGGCAGCACAGAAGGAAGCTCAGTAATAACAGGCAGGAGACAAATCTGCCAGTAATATGAATGAAGAAAATTTAAGATTAAGAGTTGTTACCTGGGACTAGGACCATAACTCAGTAATAGAGTGTTTGCAAGTATAGCATGTGAGAGCCCCTGGGTTAGATCCCCAACACCACAAAGAAACATGAAGCTGGGCGTGGTGGCGCATGCCTGTAATCCCAGCACTCAGGAGGCTGAGGCAGGAGGATCATTGTGAGTTTGAGACCAGCCTGGGCTACAAAGTGAGCTGAAGGCCAGTTTGAACTGCATAGTGAGACCCTGTCTCAAAAAGACAAAAATAAATAAATAAACAAACAAAGAAACAAACGAAACCATAAAAAGTTAACTATGTTAAAGGTGATTCACTTCGAAATGGGGTAAAAGAGAATTCTGTGATGACAGCAGAGATAATAATTACAGAGAATCTCCAGGAAGAAATTTAGGAACTAGAGAGGACCCTGATGACTGAGGAGCAGACCTTTGTGGAGAGGATGATGCTCCACTCCTACTGCTGTGCTGCAGTGAAAGAGACTCGTGGGGGGCAGTCCTGGCTGGGACACGTGAGAGCCACCCTTCCTTGGTGAACACCACAACCCACCTCCCTCCATTCTGAGCCGCAGCATTCACATCTGCCGTACCACCAGGAAAACAAGTAAGACCGCCTAACACCAGTCAGCTGACCAGGAGAGCCATAGTTTGAAGAGTCTGGGACAGTGTGCTGCGGTGTCACAAAGGTGGTAGCTTGGAGCTAAGAGGCAAGAAATGTCACAAATAGTCCTTGAGCTCCGACAAAGAAGGTAGACTCAGACCTAGAGAAAAAGATCCCTCATGAGTAATCAGTACTGTTGGAGGGGGCTATTTTACAATAATAAAGTAGATGTTAATGGGAAACTGTTTGTAACTGTGTACTGTATGCACTTCTCTTTGTGTTGTGTTCTCAGTTAATATGAGTGTTAGTGGTCCATATTCCCTTAGTGTTGGGAATTTTATGTAGTTACAAGTGGTGCTTTTGTTTATTCTTTGTCGTAGGATCCGTATCTTGATAAATTTTTTGCTCTGGTCAATGCCCTGGATGAACACATGTTCCCTATCCGAATTGGGGACATGCGGATCATGGAAAATAACTTAGAAAATGAATTAAAGAGCAGTATTTCAGCATTGAATTCATCTCAGTTGGAGCCAGTGGTCCGATTTCTTCATCTTCTGCTTGATAAACTGATCCTGTTAGTTGTTAGACCTCCTGTCATTGCTGGCCAAATAGGTAATTTACTTTTGCTTGGTAATGAATCATGTTATTTATAATACGGCATTTCTAACTTTTGTAAAAAAACTAAGTAAAAAGGAGCATGCTCTTCTATTTGCTATCTATAGAGACTGTGTTTAGTTGGAAATGTCCTTTACTTGTTTGTAATTAGAGAAGATAATGTTTTCTCTGTATAAATGTGTCATATAGACTTCTCAAGTTATAAACAAATTAATTAATTCATTCACTAAATATTTACTAAGTACCTTGTATGTATAGAAGCTGATAGGCATTGTCCAAGGCTGGGTTCCTGACTTCAAGTTCTGACAGACTCAAAAAATAGTAAGGAAGGAAATAGGTAGAGGGATCGGTTGGGTTACAGCTGAAGGTCGTGTGCTAACCCCGTCTGCATTTTCACTTGCCTGCTGCCCTCCACGTCACAAAGCTGTGCCTTCCTTCTCGTGCTGGACACTAGGGGGTTCTCCTTTTCTTCTGCACTGTTGTGGAGTGAGAGCTGTTTCTCATTCCTACCCTCTCCCAAGGTTTAGTTCTCTGCTTCTCTCAACAGTTTTAGCTAAATACTAAAAGGAAGTTAAGCTGGAAAGAAATTTTTATGAAAGAGCTAACCTCTTATAAAAATTTCAGGTTAAGGGGTGGCACAAGGGAAAATAAGTTCCATGGGTTTTTTTTTTGTGAGACTTATACGTGGAGGACATTCTTGAGTGTTTGAGTACAAATTGGAATCTGACATGTAACTGTTACCTCAAGGAACTGAGAGTGCATGTGCTAAAGCAAACGTGTTTTCTTCCTTCTTAAAAGTTAATCTAGGTCAAGCATCTTTTGAAGCCATGGCGTCAATTATAAATCGACTTCACAAAAACTTGGAAGGAAATCATGACCAGCATGGCAGGAACAGCCTTCTTGCCTCCTATATCTATTACGTGTTTCGCCTACCAAATACTTACCCTAGCTCACCCTCACCAGGTGTGTGATTCTTTTTACTGTGACACTATCTTTGGTAAGGTCAGTCTGTGTGGCGAGACTGAGATAATGTAGTCCCCGCATTCATTCAGTAACAGACGTTTGTTGAACACCCACTAAGTGCATTCACTGTGCTACTTACTGGAGTTAAAAGGTAAGCTTCATTTTAAAGCATTGTTATTTATGCAGCTTGCTTTAATTTAAATTAGAGATGTTGGTTAAATTAATTTGTGGAAACGAACCTTGAGAACAACTTATGCTTCCAGAGGCACTTTAGCATTCCTTGTTAAAATAAATAGAGTCTTGTTTGTCACTGCAAATGCTGTTGGGCATTAAAAAGGTGTGGATCAGTGGTTCCCTAGTAATACTATAACACGTGTAGTTATACTGTATAAGATTGTTTTCTAGAAAAGTTCGGAGTACTGGAGCCAAAGCAGTTACCTGTCATGTCAGACACTGGCGATAGTCATGGTAGTTATAGGGAGATCTTTTGTTTGAACGGTCCTTCAGTTGTTCAGTTAATGATTCTTGGTGCATAGTTTTCAAGCTGCCAGCTTGTCTATCTGCACAGGTCATCTTTCGTCACTGGTGTGGAGGATACATGCCTTTTCTGGCTACTGGCAATGTTAAGCCTGATAGGACTAACAAATAACTAGTTATGAAAAGCAGGCAGCCTGCTAATCTGACTAGACATTTTGGCCTAGTATTTCTTTACTTGTTTGCAGAAGAGAAATGTAATTGAATCATATCCTGATTCATACTGTCCTGTCTTGAATTTTAAATTCCACGACTTGAGAGTCTGACTGTGTGAATGACAGTGTAGTACCTGCAGTGCTCCATTTTCCCTCATTTAGCGCACTGTTAGGGCTCCACAGATTTCACAAGTCATGCTGTGTATGCGCTGACCTCACAGATTGTGTACATTAAATAGTTGACAGGTATGTATCATTTGCAAATAGGACATTCAGAAAGATTTCTGTAAATAAAAATTCAGAGAAGTTGTGGATATAACTGCTGGATACTTAGGTTTGTAGAACATGGTTGAAAGATGTCAAGCTTGATTTCAGTCAGATAAAAGGGACTTCTTTGCTTTCTTATATAATCTAGATTCTTAGAATTATCTTTAGTTTTTGCATGAATATTCTAAGAATGCCATTTTGTTATAATTCATATACACACATACATCATTCGCATTCTGTTGTGGTTCACATATAAAACAAATGATTATATCAAATAAAACAAGTGTCACACCCAAAACAAGTGAGGACAGTCTGATTCAGGAGATATTGGTGGCAGCAGAGCAGGAGGGCTGGAAAAAGCAGACATCAGCTGGCACGTTTTGGGTTTTTGATATAACTATACCTAAGTGAAGATAGTGTGTTTCCTATTTAATGTTGTTATGCAATTAAAATGTAATAGAGAAAAATAGAAAAGAATGATTTTATTTATAACTCATATGGTTTTGTCAACTACTATACTATAGAATGTCTGTAGTACTATAATTCCAGTGCTCTGGGAGGCTGAGGCAAAGAATTGCAAGTTTGAACCCAGCTGAGGATGTAGCTCAGTGTAAAGGCCTAGGTTTGTTTAGTGCAAAATAAAAGGAATAGCACGGGTGCTGGGGATTTAGCTCAGCAGCACAGTGTCTGCCTGGCAAGCACAAGGTCGTGAGTTCGATTCCCAATACCGGAAAAAAACCAAAACCAAAAAAAAAAAAAAGAATATCATGTATAATTACAGTGTTTAGTGTAATTACCAATGTGTAGTTCTTGAGGTTTTTTTACTTCTGTTGATATTTTAAAAGTTTTACAGTATTTTTTATTTAGAAACAAATACAGGTCATGATCATTGTGGAATCTTGTAAAGTGGTAGTCAGTTTTTTAGGTCTGTTTCTTAGTCTTTTTCTCTTTTAATAATGTTCTATTTTCTGTGCATCTCCAGGTCCCGGGGGGTTGGGAGGATCTGTGCATTATGCCACGATGGCTAGATCTGCTGTGCGACCCGCAAGCCTTAACCTGAGCCGCTCTCGGAGCCTGAGTAACAGTAACCCAGACATACCTGGGACTCCCACATCACCAGACGATGAAGTGCGGTCTATCATCGGCAGTAAGGTAAACTGGGGACGTGCATCTCTAAGTTGGGTCTTAAGTCTACCGACAGCTGTGAAGTTTTTAGTTTATTTGTAATTTTGAGATACACTTATGTTAATAAGCAATAAATTGTATATTTCTATTCTGTTGGAACTAGAAATAAATAAAAAACTGTATTTCTGTTTTACTGGTAAACACTTTCATATTTCTATTAAATATGCTTGCTGGTACAAACTGGTTTGTATACTAAAAAAATACCAAATTTTAGGATTTGTGCAGGATAACTAGCAACATGTAACTCACTATTGTTGTCATACTGTATCATGTGGAAAATATCTAGTTTGACTTTCCATAGAACTAAAACCTACTGATGGATAGGAAACGTAAGTCACTATTGATTTATGATCCCCTTCTCCAAAGTGTCAACGACAGTTACTCACCTTAATTGTAATAGAGCTACATTTCAGATGAAACCGTGTGAAGCACACTAGGGTTAGCAAAGTATGATTTATCTAGTGATAGTTAATGGTTATTTTTAGTGGTGCTTGAATCATCTTGTCTTCATCCTTTCTCAGCTGTGATCATATCCTATGTCTTCTCATACCAGCAGCATGACAGAAAAAGAAGAGGGCTATCTAGTATACGATCCAGCTATATTTTATTTAAACTCTCCTCTTCTTTAGCCCCTAGAATACTTAACAAATGATTTCTACCTTGTAGATGTAAAGTATAAAAAGTAACCCAGAATTTAAGCAAAATGAATAAAATAAAGCATAGTAAGGCCAAAGCCAACAAATCACACCATATTATGTTGCAGACAGACTACTTTAAATGTATGTTTTGCTATTAGAAAAGAGGAAGATACATTTATGTAGAAGCATAGCCACTTTCTCCTTGACATTTTACTCTGTTAGCTTGGGTATGAGAAAGAATTAATAGGAGCCTGATCTGTCATAGAACTTTTTAAGTTCTAGATTGGTTTGTTTCTTTGGTGAACTACTTGAACATTGACTAAAAACATCTAAACTACTCTTATAGTTTATATAATTATAGAAATGTATAGCTTCAGAAAATTTATACTCAGGAGCTTCTAATTTACATCAATGAGTGCTAATTCATTGTAAGGATTACTGTGAAGTATTGCTCATTTTATGTAACATAATTTTTCAGAGTAAAGTTCAATGAGAAATTAAAATATATATTTCAATAACTTAAAGATCTGTGTACATGTTTCTCTAATTAAGCAACTTTTTCATTCCTTGTGAACTCCCAGAGAACACTGCAGAGGTATGCAGGGCACTTCAGAATAGATCAGGTATTGGCAGTTGCAAGAGAGCACCTTCCCCCAGCGTGTTTCCCTGTGTGAGAGGAGGACTCAGGGTCTTGTTCTTGTTTCCATTCTTGATCGTATCTCACTGTAATAGAGATAGTACATAGCATTATTTTTGTGTTTTAAGTATAGTTCTTTAGTAGAAAGACTTTGATTTGTGAATTGTAAAAGAATTTACTATCAAAGAACTACACAGAGCACATTCCTCAAGGTTCTGCTTTTAAAACATCCTTAATTTCTGTAAGATTTGTATTATGTGTCATTTAGCATAAATCTAGAGCTGTTCCTTACAGATATATTTGATAGTTTATAATTTCAAGTCTTTGAACCAAGAGATCAGCATATATTGGAATGACTTATTTTGCCCTGCTTAAAGAAAGGCATTAAATGAGACATAATAATGATTTAAATATATAAATATAACTTCTGAGGAAGTCTTCACAAGATGAGAAATTATTTCATGACAGCTCAGCCTTGTCCTAAGTTTTACTAAAATGATTTTTTATTGAAAAATCTTTGATAACTACTTTCACATTGGATTATCATTTAGTTATTACCCCTAATTTTAATGCTGTATAATTTTATTTGACAAAATGTAAGGAACCTGTAGTTTATGTGTATCTGATTTTCCTTTATTTCATTGACCTGGCAGTTCAAGAAACTCTTTTGTCATCTTGTCCTTCCCAGGTGTGACCCGCCCTTTGCCTTGTCTGCCAGTAGTCTTCGCCATCATAATAGCGGTCTTACGTGTTGTGTTCTCTAGCCATTCTCCATTTTTCTCTCCAGTGCCCCACCGTGATTCCAAAGATTTCTTATTCCTCTGCAGCCTCTCGTCTTTAGATCCTGTGACCTTTCTTCCTTTCATTCCTTTAATGTTCTCTCTCCCCCGAGCCAGTTAAAGATACATGATCAATCATTATAATTATTTCCATCACAAACCTCAGTTCCCATCTTCTTCTTAAGCTTGAAACCATGCTTGAACCCACATGCCTGCCTGTGCCATGTCAGCACCTGTGTGGCTGAGCATTGCTTGTAAAATACCATGGTGACTAGTCTGACCTGAAATTCCAAGGCCATGAGACTCAAGAGAAGACCTAATGCTGTCAGGCAATTCCATTCTGTATTCATTTGCTCTTCATTCTCCCAAGAAGTAACTTCATGCCATAATGTGTTACCTCAGACCTCCCAACACCCCCCAACTTAATTTCCTCTTTCAAAGGGAAAACTGAAACATCAGAACACTTTTATAGACGCTGCCATCCCTACACACCTACCCCCTCTGCTATTGACTACTTAATACTCTACTGTACGTGGAGTATCCATTTCTTTGCTTACACAGATGCTCCCACCTCCTCTTCCTATTCAAGTTTCTCCAACAATTTTCATCTCTCCTCCTTTACCGGTTTCTTCCTATATATTGAATTATTCTCTTCCACATACAGGCATGCTGTTAGTTCTCACGTAGATAGAATTCCTCTGTAGGATTTCTGCTGCTGCCGTCTTTGTCATTTCTCTGTACCTTACCCAGAATTCCTTAAGTGTTTTCTGTACTTGCTTCTTCAATTCTTTTGTTCCCATTATCTTTACTTCAATTAAATATTCTTCCTGTCTTCCACTAGAATGCCTTCGTTCACGTCACCAGTCCTCCCTGGGTCGCTAATCCCGATAGCTGTTTAGCAGAGCTCATCTTACTTTACCTACCAGCACCTCTTAGCAAATTATTTTTTCTCACTGGCTTATTGCGCTTACTTGTCTTCTAGGCATCTGCATGTCTAGAGTTGTGCTTCTCAAAATACTGGTTATATTTTTTCATTTTCCTTTTTGGGTTTTTTTCTGATTTCTTAATGTGGAAATGCTCTAGGACTCAGTATTTATTTCTCTTGTAAGTCCCCTGGTTTATGAAATAATGTTAAATACCATATAAATGTTATGTCTTTAGTCACAAAAATACTTTTTGGTTGGTGTAACTCTTTCTCAGAAATTCCAAACTTAGAATTGGATCAATGTTGAGAGCAGAGCCAACACTGCACCCCTACCCGCAGCCTCCAGCCATGCTGGCAGTGGGACCCAGGCCTTGCTCAAGAGCACTCCCCAACACCTCTGCACTGCCATCGGTTCCACACTGCCGTCATGGTCTGAGCAACCAGCATCTCTCCCTGAATTAATATTGTAGCCTTAAGATGGTGTCCCTGCTGTTCTGCCCTCTTCACAACAGAGCAGCTAGAAAGTTGTCTTAAAAACCTGCAGCACACTGAGGAGATTAAGTCAGATTGCATTAGTCCACCAAGCAAGATCCTTCTCCAACTCCCTCAGCTCCTTTAAGACATTACTTAGAAGTCCACCTTCTTCTCAATTAAGTCTCTTCTGAACGTCTTACTTAAATATGCACCTGGTGGCTCTTTCTCTTCAGCCTTGGGCCTAAGGTTCCTTCTAATCCCCTTGTTCCCTTGTTCTGTTTTTTGTTATTATTTCAAATATTTACTGCCTTCTAATGTAGCTTACTAATTAATTATTTGTGATGTTGATATTTTAGTGTTCCTGTATAGATAGCCCCTGTATTCTCTTAAATAGTACCCTATTGTGTTTAATTATAATAAGCACAGTAAAAGTAAACACAATGTGAATTCACTATTACAAGAAAGAAGCAAATATTAGGTACCACTTTTCATAATTAAATTTTTTTTTTCCTGTTCCCTAAAAGAAAATGAAAGAAGAGGTGAGATCTAATAGAATTGTGGAGTATCATGCACAGTAGCTTGCGGCTTATGAGAAATGGAATGAAGTTAGAGTCTTCTACCCAAGAATGCACTATCTTGCTTCCATTTTGTCATTTAAACCTTCTCAGTTCAATTCAGAGGAAATTACCTGATGCTCACATGTACTGTCTGCAGTGAGAGTTTAGGAGGGAGATGCTGTGGAAACTTTAGTTGTTGGTACTTTATAAAGTGATCCCATTACGTAAAAAGGAACTACCTTTAAGTACTGTACTTAGTGTTCTTGGTCATTTGTTATGTCAAAAGATTATTATTATTTTTATGTTATATAGTAAAGTAGGTGAACTAATATTTTATAGGTGCCTAAATTTTTGGTTGCTTTAACAGTACTAATTAAAAACAGATTTGCACTGGAAAGTCTGGGTTTCTTTAAGAATAATTTATAGCATGCAACATGTAATATTTCTTTCCTTTCCAACTGCTTTCTATTATATGCTTAGGGTTTAGATCGCTCCAATTCCTGGGTTAACACTGGTGGTCCAAAAGCTGCCCCATGGGGATCCAACCCCAGCCCAAGTACAGAATCAACACAGGTGGTGTTTACATTAGAGGTTTCTTTATTGGCTGCTGATGTTTCCCTTTAGAACATTACTTTCTAGTACATACTATGATTTCAGTGGCTTGCTTTCTTAATCATTAAAATGTGTATTTTTGTTTACGTGGCACATTTTCTACCTACTGTGCATGAATACCACCGATTGCACCAGTAATGCTTTTCTTTTCTGTTTCCTGTCTTGTCCCCTGTTCCTTACACACCCTGTCAGTATTTCCGTGCCTGCTGCTTATGCAAATGATGGCTTTGTAACACCTTCTACTTGAGGGGTTGCACATAATTAGTGAAATTGTTAAAATTTGTGGAAAAACAGTTTGCTTTTGGTCTACAATGTAACTATTGAATCATTTGCATTTAGCTATCTTGCCTTTCTTTATTCATAATCATTTAATGGACCAGTAATAAGTTGAAATTAATGTGAATAGTATGTGATCTGTATAAGATTAAGTGCAGGAAGAAACATCCATTTTAATTTACACTGTGTTGCAAAGTGTGAAATTTGTTATAATTTAGTTGAGTTAGATTTTGCTTACTTAAAATTAGTTGCTTGTTAGCTAATACTGCATGGATCTCAAAATATATTTCTCACCTGTGTTAGCTTTAGAGAAAAATACTCATTCTTAAAGGAAAATTTTAATTCTTGGTTTAATATTGTAGGTGGTTTATATTTGAAGTACTATATGAAAATCTTAAATAGTGACTTCTGGGAATAGTGAAAAAGTAAAAAATTATTTTAAACTTTTAATTTTCTTTATTAAATACGAAATTCTTGATTTCTTGTTTTTGATCAGAGATCAGTTGAGAAGTATATTTTTACTCTATACACTTGTACTAGATATGTGCATGTTTATAGATCATACAGAGAAGTTTCATTCTTTGCAGCACTCTAAATATTACAGTCATTAAAATATATATTTTTAAAGATGAAAAATATATAGAAACTATTTTGATATTTCTACTACATTGTTATTAAAGCAGTTTAAAGTAGTATAAATGAGATGAGCAGTAAAATAGATGGTCGTTGAGGCCGCGCTAAAAGCTTGTTTGAAAACAGTGCAGTCCTTGAGCTTCCGAGTCATCCCCTGCAGTGTTAACGCTCTCGTCATTCATCCATCTTCACCCCGTAGGCTGTGGATCGAAGTTGTAATCGTATGTCTTCGCACACAGAGACGTCAAGTTTTTTACAAACATTAACGGGACGCTTACCAACTAAAAAGGTAGATTCATATGAAGACAATACGAAGAGGGGAAAGTAATCCCAGTAACTAAATACTTGCAAGATTTCTTTATATAACCAATAGAAGATACTGGAATAATTGTGTTGCATTTACATGTATATCTGAGCAGGCACTGCTCATCAGATGCCTTTGAGGCATACTTTCCAATGTAGGCTTTTTATAGTAAGATAATGCTCAGATGTTGGAGATTTACTGTTTTTAGGGTTCAGTGAATTCAAATTTGATCATCAAATTTTAGTACCAGAAATGTATACCTCTTAATTCTGCTTCTGTAACTGCTTCTATTTTTGTTTTTTAAATTTCCAGGGGAAGGAAGATGAGTTAGAAAAATTATCACTCTTAGTAAGATGTGTTGATCTGCTTCCCTACGCACACTTTCGTTAGTCCTTCTTCATGTTAATATACACGACTTTGCAAGTGCTGGGTACCTACACCCACTATAAAGCAGGAATATTCTGCTACTGTTAAAATTAAAAAATGATCTTAAATACTTGAAAATGAATGACTTATAGCAAAATTTACAACTTTAAAGATAATTCCTAAATTGTACCAGCAAACTTCATGAGTGTAATGGTGCATGTTACTATGTATTTAAGGCACACACAGGATCTCACTGTAACTGAGTTTTCAGTCTGGTTTCTGTTTGCATGTACAATTTAGGAGGCTGTTTCCTCCCTGTCCTTTTAAAGGACATTGTACTACTCCCAGATAACATACGATGTCCCCAGCTGTGCCACACACACTGTCTTCCATGCATAAATGGTCGTTTCGTTAATGGGTGTCACCACCGCATTGTGAGCAGCTCGCGGCCTTATTTTGCTTATTCTCATTCCACCTTGGTCTGCATTTGTGTGTATTTGGCTTTTGACAGCAGCAGGTCTGCCTTTGATACTGACTCTGCTTTACTCCGTAGCTGTTTCATGAGGAGCTGGCTCTGCAGTGGGTGGTTTGCAGTGGCAGCGTTCGCGAGTCGGCTTTGCAGCAGGCCTGGTTCTTTTTTGAATTAATGGTGAGCAAACCAAACACATTCTTTAGTAGTTCTGTCAGTGAACAATTTTGTGTAAGCTCCTTTTCTATTAGAAAAAACTATTGCACACCTATGGTCTTACATGTGGTTCCAAGGCAGAATTACATGTATTGTGTTTCTAAATAAACACTGAACAAGCTGTATAGTTAAGGTGAAATTGGAATAGTTTTTGCTTAATAAATGACATTAAAGCAAACTAGTATTTTAAATGCATGTATATTATATAAAGCATAGGTACATATTTGCATAAACACATACATAGCATAACAAGTATTTATCAAGTTAGTACAGGATGCTAGCAGCTGACCAAGGTAGAGAGGTTAAGTACTTGCCTAAGGATGCACAGCTGGTAGGCAACATAGCTGTGGTACAAACTCAGACATTCTGACACTAGGGACCTTTTTCTGCATTTCGTCCTTAGCTCTAGAAAGATAAATTGCTGAAACTTTTTTTCCAAAAAGAAGTAGCCAGACGGTGATTCATTCCTATAATCACAGCTGCTCATAAGCCAAGCCTTGAAGCTTAGTGAGAACCTGTTACAAAATAAAAATAAAGGGTTGGGGATATAGCTTAGTGGCACAGCACCTGCTTGGCAAGTGCAAGGTCCTAAGTTCGATTTCTGGTACCAAAATAAAATAAAAAACGGTGATGTGTGTAGCCCAGTGGCAAGTGAGAAGCCTTGGGCTCAGTCGCCAGTACTCTGTGTGTGTGTGTGTGTGTGTGTGTGTGTGAGAGAGAGAGAGAGAGAGAGAGAGAGAGAGAGAGAGAGAGAGAGGTAAGTGAGGGGAGAGGAGAGGAGGAAGGGAAGTTAAGGAGGAAGAAAGGAAAAAATTAGAAAAGCTTCCAGATATAGGGTCCTTCTCAGCATCGATTATTGTCTTAGTTGCTTCTCTTGTTGTTGAGACAAAATATCTGATGCCCAAAATTGAGGGAAGCAAAGGTTTATTTAGCTCGCAGTTTGTGGAGGTTTCAGTCCATAATCAGCTGGCTCCAAGGCAGAGGGCAACCATTTATGGTGGCAGAAGACAGCAAAAGCAGCCATAGCAAAAAGGGAGGAGCACAAGAGAAGAGTCTTTCTGTCTCTTGTATTGTATGTAGGCTGCCCACCCTAGGTGGATGTAGCACTCACACCCATAATCCCAGCATTAGACCATGAATCAGTCACAAAGGCTTTGGGGGGGACATCCAGACACAAGCCATAACAATTACCTGTATTGGGGAATAAGATAACATTTCTTCTAGAGACTTACTACTCTACAGAAGTAAAATCACAGACTATACATAAGCAACAGAAAACCCATTTTTCCCCCTAGAATATAAACACAAGTATGTAACTTACGTGCTTTTGTTATGAGGCAGAAATTGTAATGTGTACTTTTTAAAAAGTCTTACATGTATATTCAGCTTTCTTGTTTGGTTTTTTGTTTTTTGTTTGTTTGTTTGTTTTGAGGCACTGTCTCACTGTGTAGCCCAGGCTGGCCTCGAACTCATGGTAATCATCCTGCCTCAGTCTCCCAAGTGCTGGGATGACAGGTGTGTGCCAGTAGCCTGGCATCTTAAATACTGGTATGAGTCAAAATATCACCATTTAAGGCTTTGCTGAGTCTTACACTAACTAGAACTTTAGCTTCAGTTTCAGAATTCTTTGTTATTACCAGTATTGTAATAATCTGTCTAGACGCGCTCTATAAACGCCAGTCTCTGTGGACTTTAAGTACTGTTTCATTCTGAGTACTGAGTCAGTCACCGTCTGCTGTCCCTGCTCTCTGCTCCCTGCAGTAGCTGCCCAAGGCCTGCAGTGAAGACACGGTTTCCAAGCTTCTGGAGCTGGTAGTGGTGAACAAGCAGAGGGAAGAAGTCTTATAACTGTTAATTAAAATCATATGATATTAAACTGAAGATGAATATCTTTTTCAGGTAAAGAGCATGGTGCACCATTTATACTTCAACGATAAACTTGATGCACCAAGGAAAAGTCGTTTCCCAGAACGTTTTATGGATGACATTCTTGCTCTTGTCAGCACGATTGCTAGTGATATAGTTTCACGTTTTCAGAAGGTAATAACTTTTTCCACTTATTTCTCTTTTAAGCTGAAATTAAACTATCACACTGTATTTGATTTTGCTTTATATTTTGTCTCCTAGGACACAGAAATGGTTGAGAGACTCAATACAAGTCTTGCATTCTTTCTCAATGATCTGTTATCTGTTATGGACAGAGGATTTGTCTTTAGCCTTATAAAGTCCTGCTATAAACAGGTAATAGATAATTAGTGATAATTAATAATTAAATTATTTAAGTACTGTGTTTGCTCTTTTCAGAGCTGGAGCTTCAAGAGCACATAACTATACTGATGTTAAAACAGAAACACAAAGTAATGTATTGTTTTTACTGAGGCAGAAGGAAATTATGTTTGTTTTATCAGGACACAAAGACTGTGACAAGCAGTTATCAGTAACTGACTTTTCTTGGAGTTGTAGTGGCCCGTCATAACTCTTTAATTCCCATTCTTGGAGCAGACGCCACAGCAGTAGTAATGTGAAGCAGCTTCCAGATGCTGTGCAAGTGCGCGTTTATGCTGAATATATTGCTGCCCAAGCTTTCCATCTTCGGTGACGTTTAGAAGAGCTGCATGTTGCTATGCGTTCCTCCTAATGCAGCCCTTAACATTGTAGAGTTTGGAGTCACGAACAGGTGTTTACCAAAGTCCAAAAGGTTATTTAGTATCTTGCCTGTACTAAACTAGAAGCATCCTGGACCTTTTCCACAAACAGCTGATTTTGTTTTAAAATTTTTATCAACTGATGAATGAAGCCTGCATTTTGGAAACATTAGTTACTGGTCCTGATGAGCCACTTGGGTAGTGAGTACTATAACTTTTTTTTTTTTTTTTTTTTTTTTTATTTTTGAGACAGGGTCTTGCCATGCAGTTCAGGCTGGCCTTGAGCTCATTTTGTGAGCTGGTCTCGAACTTGCAACAATCCTCCTGCCTCAGCCTCCTGAGTGCTGGGATTACAGGCATGCACCACCATACCCGGTAGTATCACTATTCGAGAATCACCTCTTAAAGAAGCTTTAAAAATACATGTAACTCTGGGCCCCATCCCAAAATCATTTGTTTGGTTTTTGGCGGTACTGATGATAGAACTCAGTGGCCTTGCACTGAGCACCATCCCCAACCCTTTTTTAAGGTAGGGATTCATTGAGTTGCCAATGCTGGGCTTGAATTTATGATCCTCCTGCCTCGGCTGGGAGTTAGGTGTGCGCTAGCATGCCCGGCTTCACTCCGGAAGTATTTAGGAGACTGAAGCCTAGTGGGGGCACTGAGGGATGTGAGACTGCTGCTCAAGCACTTCCCAGCTTTTCCTGACTACCAGTCAGCAGTTCTGTCTGGCAATATAGTACTTAAAATTTTGAAGGCAGTTCTATTGGGTGCCTTTATTAATGTTTCCTTCTTTTAATAGTTAGAGAAGTTAATCATGTGTGGGCACTGACCTACTTGTAAATATTGGCAAAATAGTTATGTTTTAATTTTTCCCCTAAAACGTCATATACTGTTGCTACCAAATCTTACCCTGTCTTAATTCTTGAGATGTTGGTTGCCTACACCTGTAGACGTTGAGCTGGACCCTGTGAATACCAAAGCTATTAAGTCAGTTTGTATTGTGTTTCTTCAAGTAGCTTATTATATATCTGGGAGAATAAAGAACAGACAATTGTAAATGCAGGTAAACACAAGAGGCCATAAAAAGAAAAGATAATTTCTTTTAAGAAGTGATCTTATTTTGGTGATTTTTCCTCATAAAGTATATTTTGACAAGTGGAAATATTAATCTTACGTTGGAAATATAAAAATGTGACTTTTAAGTTAGTCAAATGGCTATACACTGTCAGTCTTGTAGTGCCAGTTTTTCTATATTTGCAGTAACTCTGGAAAAAGCTAATTTTTTACATTGAAATTACAAAATCTGAAACAGCTCAGAGTACTGTTCTTTAATTCTTTAATCTGTCATTCTCATATTACTGTTAAAAGAAGTAATATATTCAATTGGTATTCTTTTATTCATGCACTGCTTACCAGGTGTCTTCAAAGCTTTATTCACTGCCAAACCCAAGTGTCCTGGTGTCCCTGCGGTTGGATTTTCTGCGAATCATCTGCAGCCACGAGCACTACGTCACATTGAACCTCCCCTGCAGCTTGCTCACGCCCCCGGCCTCTCCGTCTCCCTCAGTGTCTTCTGCAGCCTCTCAGGTGTGCAGAGCGTGGAAGCTGCCCTTGCTAAAGTCCGCGTTGGTGAAAATGGTGCTACACAATGGGGAAGACTTTAACTAATTGCTGTTAACTAATAGCTGTATGACAGGGTTGGTTCCAAGTGGTTTTTATAAGAATTAACTAATTTAACCTTAGAACAGCTCTAGGGGTTAAGTTCCGTTATTTTACAGACCACACACACACACACACACACACACATACACACACACACACACGAGACATAAACATCACAGTAAAAATTAGAAGAGCCAGGCTCTAAACTAAGACTTTCTTTGAGAGCTTGAATTCTTAACCACTGTGTTTTGTACCCCTTTCACAAATTTATGCACTTAAGAATAAATTCACTTAGGGGGCTGGG